ATCCGAAGCCAAGCCATCAAAATCGGATCGAATCCAGTCGGCTGGATCGAAACGAGCCCCGACTCCCGCTACGCACTGGCCTACTCTCACAAGGGGGACCGCGCGGGACGGTGGCCTCGAGCTCCACCTGCCCGAACACCTCGTCGCACTGCCTGCAGGGCGGCGCCGCTGGCGAGGAGGATCGACCGAACGAACACACCTCCCAGCGGAGCGCCCAGGGGGTAAGGAAGAGGTGGCGGGCATCCACAGAAGGCTCAGAAGGCTCACAAGGCCTCTTGAGAAGCCTGCTGAGCCCCCTCCGGAGGCCCCGCCACCCACAGAGAAGGGAGACGCAAAACACCGAAACAACACTAACACAAACGGAACAAAAAACTCAAGAAACAACCTACAACAAAAACGACCCCCTCCAAGAAAAACATAGTAATCCCAAAACCAACAACAAAACAGAAAACGCCCCTCTCACTCCCCCCCCCCTCGGCACGCCGCCGAGGCTCAGGTCCCGCCGAATCGCCTGCCAGCGAGCCCCTCGCGTCGCTGGACTGCCCGCACCGGGCATCTGGCCTGGCGAGGGCCCCCCTTGGCGGCGCGCACAAAAGGGGTGGAGGGAAGGAGGGGGGGGCTTCTTAGAAGAAGGCTTCTTCTTAGAAGGCGCCGGCCTTGCATCTGTAGATAAGGCCCGCGCCTCCTAAGAAGCAAGGGGCGCTTCTGAGAAGCCCTCCCCCCTGCCCCCCACCCACCCCTCTGCGCGTGGCTGACCTCCAGCTCCCGTGAGCTGCAGGCACACCTCGCCGCTGCCGCGGCCAGGAGCGCCAAGGCCCGAGCACACGTGCGCCGCTCGTGGCCAGGCGCAGGCGCGCCGCGCTCTTGGAGGAAGGAGGGGAGGAATGAGCAGAACACGAATAAGAAGAGAAACGAGAGCACTGTGTCTACGACTGGTAGTAAAACTACGAAAAAATATAACAATGTTGATACTGTTGCGAAAATGAGCGCTAACCATACTAAAACAACAACAGCAATAACACTAGCAACAATAAGAGTAATACAATTAATACGATTGCCCTTAAGGACAATGGTAGTCATCGTATTAAGAGCAACAGTATTAGTAATCATAAACATAAGTATGATTACCCGTATTATTCGAATTACAATTAGGAGTACTAAAATCAGGAAGAAGAGTAATAGTAATACCACGAGGAAGAAGACTAAACATCAAAAAGAAGACTAATCTGCATGAACATAGCATTCATATATAACAAAAAAAAAAAACGTGATTGCGCCCGTGACCTGCCCCGCTCCCGACGGCCGCCCCCCCCCCTCCTTGGTCACGTCACAATTCGCGTTGGCGCCGTGAGGGAACTGGCTATCCCTAAGCATCCCCAGACTACGCCGGCGCGAATCGTGACGTGACCAGCCAGCCCCCCCCTCCCCCCCCAATGACGCTCGTTCCCGCCAAGGGAGAAAGAAACGGTCTCCTATCCACCTCAACGTTGCCCTGCAGCTTTCGAGCCATGACTCGGCTCTGCGGCGGCCGTTGGGGACGATCCAGGCACCGCTGGAAAGCTCTCGGCGAGGCGCAGCCGCTGAAGGCATCTCGAGGCTGGAAAGCCGCCTAGCACCGACGAAAGCGTCCGAAAACATCAAACCCCATTCTCTTGAGGAGCCAAGCCCCCCCCCCCCTTATCCCCCCCCCGGGGGACGCCTGTTGTCGCCAAAGGGTGGAAAAAAAACGCCTTTGAACATCCGGAGGCCCCTCGGGCATCGTCGGAGGTCTGGGGACCTCTCCACGGCGATGCTCTCAGAGGCCCCCCACGCCCTCTGAGAAGCCCCCGTGCGACCTCGGTGGAGTCTCGTGTGGTCGACGAGCGAGATGACACGGCGGCCTGACTCCGCAGCGTATGCGGGCCGCCAGCGTGGCGCGCCGCATTCGAGACGTGGGCGCTGACGCACGACCTTACGCGAGCAACTTGCGCGCGAAGGTCGGCGGAATTAGATCGTGTTTTTCTTTCGTCGCTGGTGTGGGAGAGAAAAAAAAAGCAGCGTAAGCCACAAACGTTCAAAGCTCCGCGCGGCTTTCTTGGATCGGCGCTGGCACCCCCCTCCCCGGCGCGTAGAATGTGCAAGGGGCAGCGCCAGAGGCGCCGCTGAGGGGGGCTGGGCGCCGGCTCAAGAAATCCGCACGGAGCTCCGCGTAAATTCATGGTCATTGCGAGGCTGGGACTGACCGACATCCACCGCCTGGGGAAACTATGTCTTGGGACCCCAGGGGGCGGTGCATGTGAAATATTTGGGCGCCCAAGGGGCCAGCATTTTTGGAGGGGATGAAGAGGAAGAAGGGGGATTGCGACCACAGAGCTGTTCACCTGACTCGGCCTCGACCGCTATGCGAATCAAAAGGTCGCCTGAGAAACCAGGAACACCACACGAGCAGACCTGCGACAAGCAAGCTCATGCACTGAACCGTGGCCTGAACGATGAGCGATCGTGCCGCGTGCCAAAAGAAGAGAAAGAAGCGAGGAGAGAGCGCCAAAACCTGACAAACAACCCACATGTCAGTTTGAGAAACGCGGGAAACGAATTAGGATGTAGAAACAATTCGCTCTATGAGCGCGCGCCATGACGCATGTATCAAACCCCATTGTGCACAGTCTCCCGTTTCTGGCAAAATGCCACCCGTGGGGACGGGATGCACAATAATCTTGTCACAAGGACGAATGAAATCACACAGACTAGTTAACCATCGGACGAAGAAAAAGAGGAGGAACGAAAGGAATCGAAGCAGCGTCAGGAAAACCAAGCGGGGGTGTACAATCAACGTCCGAAGCCCCTGAAGGGGCCGTGAACGACGGCGAAATCTATGAGATCAGGGCGAGGCCGAACGAATGCACGCGTGGCGCAAAAAGGCACACGGCAGCACTGGAAACGGTAATCCGAATGGGCAGGGACGGGTGGAGGGTGCTACGCGCGGGCCAGAAACCAGAGCGCAACATGCTTCCCCTCGCACAGAACCCACGAGTGCCACAACAACAACAACATACCGAGAACTCGGCACAAGCCGACCTACAACAGGCAGACTCATGCTATGCACCGTGGCCTGAACAACTATTCGACGATGCAGCAGCGACAGGAAGAGGAGAGGGAGGAGAAGGGATTGGCGGCGAGCGCGGGGGGGAAGCGAGAAGGGGCGGGCCTTCTCACAAGGCTCGGAAGGTACCCGGCCCCCTGAGAAGTTTTCTGAACCTCCCCCGAAGTCACAGAAGACTTGTCAGAAGGCGCGAGGGCTTCTGAGGAGTCCCGCCGCCTTCTGAGAAGGCCTGCTCCTTCTCTAGAAGAAGAAAAAGCCACATGAACATAAACTTCTGGCGCTCCGCGCGGATTCCTTGGATTCGCGCTGGACCCCCGGGGGCCCGGGCGCGGATCCAAGAGATCCGCGCGGAGCGCCGAGAGCTTCTGTGCATGTGGTTTTTCTTTCCTCTCCGACTCTCACCTCCCCCCCCCCCTCGCTCGCGAGAACAGCATAATGCGACTACGACTGCGAGACCAGCAGAATCCTACAACTGGATTTTCATCTGAATCCTGAGGGGAATGCTTTCAGATACGCTTCTACACATCGCTGTCAGGTTGCTTTGCCGGGATAATCTTTCCTCTCCGACTCTCACCTTCCCCCCTCGGAGGGCACCAACTATACACTAACACCGATCCTGGCCCAGGATCGCCCTGGGCCCATGATCGGTGTATATGCCTTCTTGCCCAAGGCAGGAGGGCGTATACACCGATCCTGGGCCCAGGGTGATCCTGGCCAGGATCGGTGTTGGTGTATAGTTGGTGCCCACCTACCCCCCCCCCTCGCTCGCCGCCGAGGGGCGAGACCGGAGCGCAGCATGCGGACTGCAGCCGCACGGAGGCTGCTGGCGCGGATGGCCCGGGAGCGCACAAAGCGGCGCGGCGGGGGCGCCCCGCGGCCGGCCTCCGCCGGGCGGCGCGGGCCGCTCCCTCCCCGAGGAGCCCCCCGCCCCCCGCTGGCCCGGACAGCGCCTGGAGGAGCGGAAGCCCCAAGACGGCGAGGGGGGGAGAGGGCGGAGGAAGGGGGAGGAGGGGGAGGAGAGGGGGAGGAGGGGGAGGAGGGGGAGGAGGGAGGAGGAGGAGGAGAGGAGGAGGAGAAGGAGGAGGAGGAGGAGGAGGAGGAGGAGGAGGAGGAGGAGGAGAGGAAGCGTGGAGGCGGGGGGGGGGACAAACCGAAACCCTGAGACCGACACATCAGGGGAACAAACAATGACATAAACATAAAAACTCAGAGCTCCGGGCAGATTTCTCGGATCCGCGCTGGACCCCCCTGGGAGCGCCTCCGGCGCCGCCCCTGGCGCGCTCCGCGCGCCAGGGAGGGGGGTCCATCGCCGATCCGAGAAATCCGCGCGGACCTCCGAGTTTTTATGTTTATGCCAGTGTTTGTTCCCCTAGGAGAGGATGATACGTTTCCTAGAAAGGCACGCCAGCGAAAGGGCTTTCTGAGACCACGGCGTTGCGTTCGAGCCCTCGAGAAGTGCGAGCAGAAGCGTCGTGCAGCGACCTCGTGGGCGTAGTCGAGCGGACTGGAGATATCGGCATCGCCCGTCTCCAGAGTCCCCTTCCATGAGGTCCCTTTTGGAGCCACATGAGAGGCGAGGCAGAGTGGAGGCGGGGGGAGGGGCACACCGAAACCCTGGGGCCCACACACGTCCAGACCCACTGCCCGCTGAGGGCCCCAGAGACCGATCCCTCGGGCGACGGGTCTGGACGAATCCCCGCCTCGGGCTCGTGCAGTCGCTGCGTTCCTCGAAACACTACTTGGACGCAACGGCGTGTACCTCCTCGGCCCTCCCGCGCCGGCCTTCACGGTCTGATTGGGGCTCGTCCTCCTCTTCTCTCGCCCTCTCTCTCTCTTCTCTTCTCCGTCGCTCCTGGGACTCGACTCGCTTCCAGTGCAGCCCACCGCTCGCCTTGACTGGCGCCTGACCGTCTTGCAC